TGTGCCTCTCCATGCGGCGCGGCAGTGAAGTTTTTATAGAGTATTTCATTTTCTTCGCGTCTTGAAATCCAGACTTAGTTTCTGACCCCTAAACGCAATCCCGGTTTAATCTCTTGGTCTTTTACTCAGATTTTAAAGATCCAACTTGCTCAATTTAGCTCCCGACTATCCTTTTAACTCGAAATCACTTTTTACAAGATATAAAACACATAATAAGTGCAATACACTAACATTTAAGCTCAAACACAAGTAAAATGCAGTAATTAGAGTGCAAACTATAACTAAAACACATGATTATAACCTACCATCACAAGTACGCCTTCAGTTCTTGCAGTGCTTGTACACACTCGTGCGTCCACTTGAGGTTGTTATCCTTTTTGAGTACGCTGAAAAACTGTGACATCTATCGGACGACCGCGAGATGAATCTGGATAGGGAGGCAATTCGACCGGTAAATATGATCCTCTTCCTTCGCGGTATTGACCAGCATGTCGTCGATATATACCTCCATGAATTTGTTGAGTTGATCTTTGAACATATTTATGACCAACCTTTGATAGGTAGGCCCTGCGTTCTTCAACCCAAATAGCATGACTCTATAACAATATGTTCCATTATGGGTAATGAACGTGGTTTTATCTTGGTCCTCTTCTTCCATGAGTATTTGGTTGTAACCTGAGTAGGCATCCAAGAAACTTAATAGCTCGTGCCCGACCGTCGCATCAATGAGTTGGTCGATGTGTCGTGGTGGGAATGAATCTTTTGGGAATGCTTTGTTTACGTCTGTGAAGTCCACGCACAACCTCCATTTCCCAATTTTCTTTTTAAGTATCGCCACATTAGCTATCCGTTTGGGGTACTTCGCCTCCCTAATGGATCTATTTGCCAATAACTTCTCTACTTCTTTGTGGACGGCCTCATTGATAGCAGGGTTGAACTTTCGTCGGACCTACCTTACCGAGGGGTAGAAGGGGTTGACATTCAGCTTGTGTGTGAAGATTTCTTTGGGGATACCTGGCATGTTTTCATGACTAAAGGCAAACAAATATGCGTTAGTTATTAAGAATTGATTAAATTTACCTGGTTCTCAGAGTTTCCAGCCGATGTAGGCCTTTTTGTTAGGGTCGTTGTGATCTGGTTGAACGGGGTAGAGATCTTCTAGGGTTGATTCAGCGGCTTCGATCATCTCGGGATCCATAATGACTTCCTTCTCATCGCCTTATGGCGACCTCGACCCTGCTGATTGCTATGCTTCTTTTTCCTTTTCTTTCTTTTGTTGAGTTGTTGTGTTGTCCATGGTGATTCGGTAGCATTCCCGAGATGTATGTTCCCCTCGTATGTTGAATATTCCCCAAGGTGTTGAGAATTTGATCACTTGGTATAAACTGGAGGGGACGGCTCTCATAGGGTGTATCCGTGGTCATCCCATGATGGCATTGTATGTTGTGTCCTGGTCCATGATATGGAATGTCGTCTCTAGAGTTACTCCGTTAGCGAGAATGTGAAGTGTGATTTCTCAGGAAGTCCGCTCAACTACATTGTTAAAACCGATTAGTGTAATACAATGAGGCATTATCTTATCCTCAAGTCTCATATGTGCGAGGACTCGGGGATGGATGATGCACGCTCCACTTCGGTCATCTACCATAATTCTCTTAACATCGGTATCTAAAATTCATAAAGTAATAACAAGTGCATCATTATGAGGGAAAATCAAATTATCGGCATCTGACACATAAAAAAGATACTTTCTTCGAATTCGACATACCGTTCGTGGGTGATCAATCTTTTGAGCTTGTGGGTGGTAGTGAATTTGATGTCGTTGATAGAGGCGTCGTCGCTGCCACCAATAATCATATTGATGGTACGAGTTGGTGAAGGGGTCTTTGGCGGGCCTGGACGTTCTCGACCCTTTGCCAAGGTGTTCCTGCCTTTGTCGCTGAGCAGTTCTTTGAGGTGCCCTTGCTGCAGCAAGTTTGCCACCTCTAACCTCAAGGCAATGCAATCTTCTATTTTGTGTCCACGTTCATGGTGGAACTCGCAGAGGGCATCATATTTCCTTGTATTTAGGTCCGACATCATCTTGGGTGGCCATTTGACTTTTGTTTCGAGCTTCTCGAAAGGGTAGACCACTTCTGTAGGCGAAACACAAATATTGTGAGCAAATAACAAAGGGGCATACCTCGATCATTCCTGTGAGTGTCTGATCCCGGACTAGACAGTCCATCTTCATAACGGAAGTAGGGAACGGGTGTCCTGACATAGGGTAGGTGTCGTTCCCTGCCCCACCGTGAGACTAGGTGGTCTTTCCTCATACTATCTGTGCATTCTTTCCTAGGCTCAGACTGTACCGAGGTGAGCCGTCAAGTTGGTCCATTGAGGTCATCATCATCTGCTCTGACCTCGCCATAGTAGGCATTATGGATTTCATCCCAAGTGGCCGGTGGATACTTTATCAGCCGACTCGGAAGCTTTCTGTAGCCCTCAAACCTTCTATGCTCAACCCATTTTGAAAGGCTGCCACGGCCATCCTTCGAAAATATTTGGTAAGGTCAGCCTCACCCTGTTGAATCGGGCGAGAAAGTCCCTCGGTCCCTCTACTGGGGATTTCTTAATGGCGAAGATGTCATTTACTCTAGCTTCAGCTTTTTTGCCCCGGCGTGTGCCATCACGAACTTGTCGGTTATCTCTTCAAATGTTTCTACGGAACGAGCAGGTAACTATGAATACTATGCCAACGCCCCTCTAGTGAGGGTTTTGACAAATCTTTTCAGCAAGGTGGAGGACACCTGCTCTTTGGTAAGGTTGTTGCCTTTCACAGCGGAAACGCGGTGAGTCATATGATCTTCGGGGTCGGTCGTCCCGTCGTAGATTCTAAGATATGGAGGCATCTTGAAGGTCTTTGGTATGGCATGTGGGGTTGCTTCCTCACTGTACGGTTGTTCCACAAACCTGCACGCGCCCCTTTTTGGTAATAATTTAGTGGCACCTGGTATTTTGTCTACCTGTTCCTGGTGCTCTTTCATTTAGTCTTTGAGCACCTTGTTCTCATTTTTCATTTACTCCATTCTTTTCAGCACGGCGGCAAGGACGTTGTCACCTGCATTGTCAGTAATAGTGTGAGTTTTACCTGGAGTCGGAGGGTCTGGTTGGTCATCCTATTCATTGCCACGTTGTGTTGCATGGATTCTCGTGGTTTCTATGGTCATGCATGGATTGTTTACTGAGTACGCTGACTAGAGTATAAGTTAGTCATGCTTCGAGGAGCTTTTTCATAGCAAGTGACGCCCCTTCTCCCGTAGACGCGGAGGCTCCTTTCCCATTTGGTTTTTTTGTGATGCAGAAAGGGGTAGGCGATCTCTCCCATCTAGGGGAGGCAGTGGGTGTCACTTCCTTGCCCTGGGTGTCATAGCCTTCGTTGATAACAGCCATGAGGTTGAGGGGAACGTTATTTGTTACCCTAATTCCATTTCCTTGGTTACCTGCCATGAAAATTTTTGTACGCACGAAGAGAATAGATAAACTTTATGGTTTGTTAGATTAACAAGTCGCGTGAGTTGTATATCTAATAGAAACTAAAAAATTGATTGAGAAAATCCCCACATATGGCGCCAAACTGTTTGACCCAAAATTTAGATATAGGTTTAAACAATTGAATTTTCTAATAGAATGGAGTTACTCTTAGCTAATATTAATATCCAAAAGATTGTTTAACGGATTTTGTATCAAGATGTCATGAGTACTGTTCGAATAGCAATAAATAGCAACAATAAAGCAATATTCAATAGCCAAAGAACAAATAGAATAGCATTAAATAGTAGTAAATTATAATAAATGGCATTTATATAAATAAATACAAGTGAGTCACCCGGAAAGGGGTAAGATTCTATGATATTCCCTCTGACAAAGATGGATGATGTTAAGCCTTAGAATATTCAGATCCTCCTTGGATCGTGGGAGAAAGGATTGACACCGATCTAAAGAAAAGGTATATTTTGTATGTTAATGATAAAACAAGAATCTTCAGAGAATGTCAATGTATTATTTTTTTACAATGAGTGTCCAATCCCCTCTACCATTCTTTCTCATTCTATTTATAAGGGCACATAGGCCACAAAAACTCTAATAGTACAAATGGGAGGAATATTCCTGAGAATATTCTCTATAAGGTCTTATCTCTAAAACTAGTCGTTACTGCCTTGCTAAAGGAAGTGCTCGTCCTCGTCCTTCTGCTGAGTCAATTCGACCTCGTCTTCGTCCTTTGTCGAGTCACTTCGACCTCGCCTTCGTCCTCTGTTGAAAGCGCATCGATGACGTGTGACAGCTTTGCTCTTTTAATGTTAACTTGGCCCACATATAATTATAATACAATTTTTAGCCCATACAGCTACAACAATCGAACCCACTATTGTCACAAAACAAGTACTAGTGCCTTTTTTAGGAAAAGAAAAATGGCACGGTTGGCCAAATTAAACATGAAACCTTATCCCTTCTCATAATTGACCAAATGCCGCAATTTCTTGTCTTCCTGTAAGCCACTATGTCTGGAAAGAGCTGCATGGGACCAAAATTATTTGGAAGATATAAAAAGGAAAAGAAAGGCAACCAATGGATAGGAGATTCGTGAAACATGCTTATCCTTAATTGTGGTATGTGGACGTATAAATAAATACAACAAAGGGAAAGTAGTCGACAAATAATTTAAGTTATATATATCGAAACAATGTAAAAAAATTTATACCATCAGTTTGATTTAACATTACATGTCAAGTTATATGAAATGTTACCTGTTGTTATATCTTGATGGCGTAAGAAATCTATACATTATAGCTGTACAAAATTTAAAGCCTTTCGAAAATGAAAGCCACTAAAGACTAATGTCTCTTTCACTAAAAGTAAAGTCTTTCTTTAGGAGTAATTCTTTCTTTTCTTTTTTAGTGGTGAATGATTGCCCTATACATTGATCACACAGTGTGAGATATTGCTCTTTATATATCACAATCTTCATGCCTTGAGCAGAACACCATAACAAGATTACTGCTTCCTCTCAGTAATTCTCTAAGTCAATTTCAGAAACTCTTTCTAATGGCTTTTTCGTGTAGCTTAGTGTCCAAAACCATTGTAATATTTCCCAGCTTCAAGCCGTGTTTACTCAAGATAATAACCATGTGAGTTAACAGCTAACATCCTAAGTTTTTTCTTTCAAAAATGCATGCCAACATGCAAGATTTTATCATCTTTATTTAAAGGAAAAAGGGTAACAATACTCCTCTACTATATAAAATATCTTCATTTACCTTCATTATACTTTGGAGTCATAACTCATAATAACCTTTCTGTTAGAAAATCATCTCATATATTAATCATTAAGGAGTTCCAAACTGAAGTTTAACAGACGACAATTTTAAACCATAAATCAAAAGTAAAGATGTAACGAGACAATATGTTAACAGAAAGGGTATGAATGATCTCAAATTATAATGGAAGCTATTTCGTCTAGCAGAAGAGTAGTAAATTTGTGCATTTCCTTTATTTAAATTCATGAATTACTTTTGGCTCACGTTTCTTCTTGATTAATTTGTTGGATTTTTCGTGTTTGATTTGCAGAAGATGCCTTAATACAACAAGGAGACCGCCAAGGCCACCGGTAAAAACTAAACCACCACAAAACAACAATTACAAAGACAAGAAAGAGACTCTGATGACAGAGGAGAACAGTAAGAGAAAGCTCCAAGACGATAATTCCACGGTCAAATCAAACTAGCTAGGAATCTTGTTTCTTAACAAGTCAATCGTACTTAGTCTAAAGTTATTACTCTAGTACAATGCTAAAAGACTAATCAAACCAGTAGCAGCATATTAGAATTTAGGAGTAGTATGATATTTTATTCTGTCGTAGGTGCTTGTATTGTCCTTTTGTTTCCTATTTTCCTTTGGTTATCATGTTAGGGATTGTAATATAGGGTTTGTAATGCATGGATCGTAATAATGCAAAAGTTGTAATATAAGATCTGTAATGCAGAAATTGTAATATACGGATTATAATGCATGGATTACTGACATATATTAATTGTAACACATTGACTGATCTAAAAGTTCAACCTCGTAATGTCATTGAAAGGGTATATAGTAACCTTGGCGGAATATCCTTATGCATGTAATGGCGAAAATCGCAATGAAATCTTACTGCTACTTTTTGCGACGACTGGCATTTAAATTTGAAACGTGCATCTGAAAAAGAAAATGGAAATGTACATCTAAAAAGAAATTGAAAATGTGCATAATAAGCGTCGGGTATTGAAAAGTCTTTCGTATGCGAACAGGCTTTGAGGCCTTCATCATAAATTGAATAGGAACTGATTAGAGTTTATACAACTGATATATAGGAGAAAATATGTGGCGCAATTAAATTATTTTAGATCGATCACACTTCATTTTATTCTTATTAAATTTAAGTTGAAAGCTGGGAGGAAATTCATTGCTAGCATTTATTATAAAATATAGTTGTTATAAAAGAGAATTGGCCGTTAGTTGCTTTAGCTTTTGTCTTATTTTATTCTACAAATAATTACTTTGAATAACACATCCCGCACTTGGAATAATCTTATTTGAACGAAGATTAGCTTGTTATTAGCAAAAAGACGTTTCACGCTCAGTTTACTTACAAATTTTCAATCAATTGGAAGATGCAGCAAGATAATAACAAGAAAAGAAAGGATTCATATACGTATATATAAAAGAAATTAAAAACAAAAATAACAAGGGTGAGGTATAGAAGAATTAGAAGCATAAGGAGGAGAAGAGATAAAATTCAAGTTGAGGTTGTCACCCAACAGCAACAACGGACAAAAATGCATTAGGTGTAGGATGTTGCAGGAACAGACAAACGTATATTAGGCGTACTATGCTGATAAAAAAAAATAATATTGTATAGTCGCTCTCAAAATAGTAGCCGAAGTATATATATATATATATATATATATATATATATATATATATATATATATATATTCGGCTACTGAATATAAATAGTTTCTGGCACGGGCTAAAATTGAAAAAAAAAAAACCAAAAAGAACTCACATAGCATATACGACGGTGACGTCGAAAAAAGCGAATTAAAAATATAAAATTGGTATATAGCCGGTTTGTTATTATCTTACTAATTTTCACTTTTTTGCAAATATTTACATAGTTCGATAAAAAAACAAGGAGTTCGATTGAATCGATACAACTCCTTCTAGATCTCCCGCTGAATGTTGATGCAATAAAAATATTTCATCGTCAACCAATTATAGAGTATATAATTACTCCCTCCGCTTTAAAAAAAATTGTCCTAGTTTGTCTTTGCACAAACTTTAATAAAGAAGAAAAGACTTTAATTTTGAGATATATGGTCTTAAATAGGCCATATCAATTATTGAAATTTGTGGTCTTAAATCTGCTAGAGCATTGCGTGGTTATAAATACTTTTTATTAAGGAAATATTGAAATGTGGTAATTTTTTTTTAACGGACTAATAAAGAAATAGTGTCAATTTTTTTGAAACGGAGGGAGTAGTACTAAATCAAAGGAGGGATTTCAGTCCAAACAACTTGCTTCGTCGAGTGTGGAAACTAGATATTCATGTAACGGAAAAAGAACGACAGACAAAATTTTACAGTTTGGACAACGCAAAAAGTTGTTAAGATGATAACACAGAATTTGGATAAAACAATATGAAGTCATAGAAATGGAAATTTAAACACAAAAAATCCTGAAATATTTATTTTTTTCTGAAATATGGACAAATAAAAATTTAACTCCTAAAGAATCACTTCATGAATCAAATTTGATTGATTTATTTATCCCTTTTTATATATGGAAAAAGACAACTTATATTTAGAGCAAAACCAACACAAGATTCCTTTAATTTTATCTTCCATAATTAATTGACTAAACTCATTGCATATTCAAAGTCCTCTTTTTTCTGAAAAAAAAAATCTCATTTGTCTTGTCTTCCAATAAGCCAGCCATGTGTGAAAAAAGTAGCCTTGACCAAAATTAGTTGGAAAAGTTTAAAAAGAAAAAAGACAATAGATGGATAAGGAATCGTGAAAACAAGAATATTCATAAGCATATAAAAACAAGAAGAAAAAACAATGCTTTAGAATGTGAACTGAAGACTTGTCATCTTTCACTAAATTGAAGTCTTTCTACCAACAACGATCGTGATGGAGCACTGGTTTTCTTCGTTAAAAATAGGTATCGAATTTAAGTTTTGGATATAGAATCGTATTTGATAGAAAGCGCTTTACCTTATAGTAAAACTTAACCATGTGAATCCGAATTTAATCGGATATTCTAATGTCAAATTCTTCTTTGAGTTTTGAAGTCAACATGAGTTGCCTACATTATTTCATTCTCTGATTGCTCTTTATATACCACATCTCCTTGCCTCAGTCAGGGCACATTCTAATAATTAAGACTAGCTATAGCTTCATCTCATATTCTCAAGTAATTAATCCATACTCTTTTCTAATGGCATTCTTGTCTAGGCGCTTAGTTCCCAAAATCATGGAAATATTTCCCAGCCCCAAAACTTGTCTGCTTAAAACTATTGCCATGTAAGCTAACAACTACCTACTTTTATCTTTCCCATCATGTAATTGTGCAAGTCATTTATCCTTATTGAGTTTAACTTCTTATACTGTCAAGTTAAAGTAACTTAGAACAAAATGTAACTGCATATAGTAGCACTGATTTGATAATTTAGAAGATGCAAAAGTTCTTTACATTATCAGTGTGTATAAGTTAAATTTTTATCTGGCATGCATGCAGCCATGCAAGATTCTATCATTTCCTTAAATTTATGAGTTATTTCTTATTGATACTTCTTCTGGAATTTGTTGGCATTTGTATTGTTTGATTTGCAGAAGATGCATAAACACAACTGCAAGGAAGCCGCCAAGGCCAATAGTAGAAACTAAACCACCACAAAACAACATAGTAGTTCTTGATCAAAACAAAGACAAGAAAGAGATTCTGATGACAGAGGAGAAGGGTAACAGAATGCTCCAAGACAATAATTCCATGGTCAAGACAAACTAAGAACCTTGTTAAAAATAATAAGTCATTTGTACTTGCCTGATTTCAGACAAGATGGTAACCAATAGATTCAATATCATTGAGCTTCATTCATGATGAGAACTAGAAACAATCCATGATTATGAAAATCTACTTTTTGACTCCCATTAGTCTAAAGTCCTTTTTTTGGGAGAAATTGTGGTGTCCAGGTCAGCTTGCGCACCGTGACTAATTTCATGGATACATGCGACCTCCATTAGTCTAAAGTTAGTGGAGTGCAAACTGCTTATTATTAGTGAAACTAGTAGCAACAAAGTGGTCCCTTTTTCTCCCAACAAATTACTAGTAGTGTGATCTTTTATTCTGTCATAGGTGCTTGTATTGTTCTTCTGTTCCGTTGCCTATCCTCTTATAGTAAGTTTGTAAACGAGCAAAAGCATAGGATTTATGATTGTTTAATAGGCTTGCATCCAAGTAAAAAGAGAGGGAAAGTCTTATTACTTTGAATGTTGTATGTACAATATTTTTAAAGTTATTTAGAGTATTTCATGGATAATGCAACATTTGAAGTTTTAGAATTTGATATATGCTATTTCATTTATCCGGCATTAAAAGATATCGATTATAAATGCTGTTATGAAAAAAAAAAATTGAGTTTTCCTTGGGGGTACAGAACATGAGCGAAAAAATTTCTGTTTCTTGAGTAATATAATATGTGAGAATTTGCTATCCTCACTCGACAAGTTGCCAAACCATTACAAAATCGAAAAGTAAGGGAGATCTTTTATGTTAATTTCATGAGTAAATAGATATTGTACCCCAAACCTGTAAATGAATCTAAAAAATTCATCTAGCCGATATTAGTATGAGAAGTATCATCTATAAAAAAAAAAACGTGAGAACTTGGATCAAAAGACGGACCTATCCTAGTTGTAACACAACAAACTCTGTAATCCCACAGGTGGGGTCTGAGAAGGGTAGAGAGACTATTTCTAACAAACCCTCAGCCTATCCTAGTTGTGATCAACCCAAATTCAAGAGTCTCTGTGTGTCTGTATCTAGTCAGAGAAGATGGACCTATCCTAGTTGTAACAACAACAAACCCAGTGTAATCACACAGGTGGGGTCTGGAGAGGATAGAGAGACTATTTCCGACAAACCTTCGACCTATCCTAGTTGTGATCAACCCAAATTCAAGAATCTCTGTGTGTGTCTGTATCTAGTCAGAGAAGTTTTCTAATACTTCAAGGCAGTACAAGATTATGGCAGTTTTCTTTTTTTTTATGGATACAAGATTAAGACAGTTATATGTAATAAAAAAGTTAAACATACTGAAATGAGAATGCATTATATGTTTTAGTTTGAGAATATAGAATATAGGAAGTGAATTGTTCATTCCTCCATGCGAGTTTCCTCTGACTGCTTTTGCGAAACCTTGATTGGCAGTGTAAGAGATGGCTCTTTGTTGAGCGCAGCCGGAGCTTTGACCATGTGAATGCTCTGCTCGAGCTCCTTCGCTGCTTCTCTCTGCTCCTTGGCTTTCTTTCCTTTCATCCTGTCCGATTTGCCAACTAATGTTAATTGCAACTAAAGGCATATGACAAATAAAAAGTGATGGAAATTAATGAAGCACAATCTAAGGAACCTCTTTGTGATATGTCTATCCTCCCTATCGACTCTGATTTTATCAATTTTCTTGATGGCCTTCAAAGTGTTCTCAGTTAGATTCCTGTCATATCTCTCCGGCCTATTACGCTTCCTCTCGAATTCAAATGTCGAGTCCTTCAATTAGGAATTAGCAGCAGGAAAAGAAATTTCAGTATCACAAAAAACCAAAGAAGTAAATGAAGTTTAATTCAACACAGAGCATATACCATATCACAAAAAGAGTGGCACCGTTTACCTGAGTCATGTCCTTTCCATGCAGCCGCCTATATGCTTTTGTCCATTTTACTTTACGTGGATTCCTCTTCATCTTAAAGTTCTTGTGACACTTAGATCTACAGAACCGAAAGATCTGCACAGAGAGAAGCTTTTCTGTTACTTGATGAACAGCCTAGAATTCAGAACTCATTTCCTAGCAACCCTTTCAAGAAAACCACGTGAAACTGGAAAGAAAAGCAATGAGGAAAATAAGGTGTACCATAAAAGAGACAACCAGAAAGATTATAAATCAATGACTAGTACCAAAACACTCTTCGACACAACTGCAATTGAGCATTAGGTGAAAGAGTTTAATTACTATTCTTGCATGAGACTCAATTTGTGATTGAACAGCTATTTAGTTGGCTTCGAACCCAGTACATCAGTTTATTCAAGGTTAAATAGAGTACGGAAAAGGGCTAAAAATACCCCTATCGTCTGATAAATGGTTTGTTTTTACCTTCCGTCCACCTTTTGGTCCAAAACTGTACACAACGTTATTTCTGGGACTAAAAGTACCCCCTACGACTAACGGCAAAATTTGTGGACCCCACTTTTAATGCACTGGCATCATGTAATCGGACCATATGGCTTCTTATTTTATTCCTTATATTCAGATTTACCCGCCCCATTATTTGACCCACCCCAACTCTATTATAGCCAGGGCCCTCTTTATTCTTTTTCTTCTTTTTTCCATTTCTTCGTCTAGAAGACCTGCACATTTCTCCATTTAAGCTCATATAATCTGAGAATAGCACAGAAAATAGTAAGGCCAGGAATCAAAATTTCTAGAAGTATCCATAGCCCTTACATGGGCTAAGAAGTTGGTTTTCTACTCTCTCTCTCGCAAAATCAACTTATTGCAGTAGTTGAATCCATCATCACACAAGTGCCAGTGTACTTTTATAGGAGGTTTGGGTACTTTTTCTTTCCCTAAACAGGCCGGTCAAAAAAAAAAAAAAATTGGCAGTAAGATTTTTTGGTAAATTGTTTCTAGGATTGAGACTTTGAGGAAGTGAACAAGGAGAGATGGTGTTAATTTGGCAGTGAAGATTTTTTGATAAATTATGGGTTTGAGACTTTGAGGAAGTGAACAAGGAGAGATGGTGTTGTAAATGAGGGCAAAGTTTATCAAAAGTTTTAGAGGTTGCAGGAAAAGATGGATTGCCCATATGTTTTTTTTTTTATTTCAGGGAGTGGTTTCCATTGCTTCAATAAGAGAGATAAAGGATATGAAGTCGGACTAAAATAAATGGGGCGGGTCAGAAAAGAGGTGGGTATATTCTACCCATATGAATGGACTGTCACGTGGTCCAATTACATGATGCCAACGCATTAAAAGTGGGGTCCACAAATTCTGCCGTTAGTCGTAGGGGTATTCTTAGTCCCAGAAATAACGTTGTGTGCATTTTTGGACCAATAGGTGGACGGAGCGTAAAAATAAACCATATATGAAACAATAGGGGGTTTTTTGGCCCTTTTCCGAGTAGAGTATTGTCTAAAATTAATCGCTCAAATCATTATAGGGCCTGTGGAAAAGAAACATTAAAGGACCCATGGCAGGACCCAAAGCCCAAAGGTGGAACATTTTGCAACCCGTCCCACATCAGCAGTTGTTATGGAAGCTTGCAACCAATGTTTCCTCTCTTGTTCTAGGCTTTGCTCCTCACACTTCTCCCTGTTCTGCCCAATTGTGGCTATGCAAGGGCAGTACTACTCGTAGAAAACCCCTCATTAAGTTTTTAAATGGCCACAAAATTAAGGTTGGAAGCAAAAGAGGGAGACGATTTTCCAAAACCCTAATTTGGAGTTGTATTAATTCTAAACTCAAGGATCTTCAGCAGAGGAGAACGAAGGGAAGCTCCATCTGTTACGCTATTTCTTGGGTAGAAACTAGAGAAACACCATGAAAACCATGACAATGAAAAATTGAAAGGGTGCTACCATAGCAAAAGCTCAAGAAGAAAAAAAATCTGCATAACTAACGGAATGACACGTAAGATGCAGCCCATGTGACGTGATAGTTACTGTGGGACTAAATCTATCTTAATCTGATCTAAAGTTGGCCAACAAATAAAAGCTCACTTAAACCTACAGCGGTTATTTTCTGAAATAATATTTAAGTGTTTACTCACGTGATGGAATGTGAGAAATAAAAGGATTTTTGGAAAAAGAAAGACTTCTTCTTGCCCAGAAACCAAGTTATTGTGCACCACCAAATGCTAATTGTAAGAGAAAAGGGAAAGGAAGAGAAATCAGAATTCCTCACAACTTAAAGAAAGTGGCATCTAGGATCATTACAACTCAAGAACTAGTAGTCGGAAGATTTATTCGGGCTCCAGGTCCTGTAGGAGCCTGGCCCCCGATCACAGTATAGCCTTGGAGTCATCAATGATAAATAGGATATTAGCAATGAAAAATACCAATAGCATTTTCTGATGGATAAGGATAGGGGGTCTATTGGATAGAAGTAAAACATTTGCTCAACAATTGTTCCTCACAAAAGGAATATAACCAACTGATCGAGATCGAGAATAGGAATCGCTAATCAGTGAGAAAAAGCATGAATACTGTTCTCTTTTTCAACAAATACCTACTTCACATCCGGCCTAGGCCAATATTATCGCCTACACACCCCAAGAAGCCTTGTGACTTTTTGGATAAGAAACAAAGTAAACTTCACTAACAAGGCGGGTCAGGTATGTTTTCTTGATTAAGTTCCCGATTATGTGCCCAGGGAATGAAAATTATGTCGTTCCATAATCCTTATGTAATGTTTACAGATTATGTTATACTGTTGATGATTACAGTATATGAATGTTAAGCTTCTCATAAGACATGCCTAAATCTTAGTTTGCCTCTTTTCCTTTATAGAGTTCAATTGTTTATTCGATAAATTATTTACTTAATCAAAAAAATCTAAATGTTAATGGTACTTATGTCTGATCTATAGTGATGCGGAATAAAACCTGTAGTTGTTAGGCTAGATGGCCGAGGGTCTATTGCAAACAGCCTCTCTATCTCCACAAGGTAGGAGTACACACTACCCTCCCCATACCCCACTATGTGGGATTACATGGGATATGTTATTGTTGATGTTTGTTGTTAGGCTAGATGAAGTGAACCGTTCTTTCTGCAGACCTATATGAATGAGTTTCAATTTGGCTTCATGAGAGTATACTTTAAATTAGTGTCCTTTTCATGAATAAAAAGGTCAAGACTGCCTCGCTTTAGGACCACCACCACCACCCAAAGATTTTAGCACAAAGAAGATTTAATTTTTTTTTCAATTTTTTCAAACTTTCATAAACAAGAGCTCGGGCATAGTAATAGCAAATTGAAATGGTTAGCTCAATTTATCGATGCACATTTGGAACACTTGGTCCTAGTGCAAGTCTGCCTGAAAGTTCATACTTACCCTAGCGCAAACATAAAAGTAGTTAAATATATAGTCACAGAAAAGTTAGATTATACCTTCTATAAACTCAAAGCTAGTCTCAGACTAGATAATCAGCAATCAGACTGTAAACTAGTATGCATTATAGCTCGATATTAATAACATGTTTGGCCAAGCTTCTAAATTCAACTTATTTTGAGAAGCGCTTTTTCTCAAAAATACTTTTTTCATAAGTACTTTTGGTGAGAAGCAGTCTGTCTTTGGTTACTTAGTTTGAAAAGTACTTCTGAGCAACAATTAGTGTTTGATCAAGCTTTTAAAAAGTGTTTCTAAGTTTATTTTTTTCAAAAGTGCTTTTCAAAAAAAAAATGTTTTTGGGGGAGAAGCTACTTTTTTAAACTTCTACTCAAAGCACTTTTTTTCTTCTAAAAGCTTGGCCAAACACTTCAACTTTGGGGGGAAAAAGCACTTCTTTTGGAAAAAAGAAAGTACTTTTGGCTTTGAAGATGCTTGATCAAACATGCTATAAGTCAAAGATCCTTGGCAATACTCAAAACTTAAAATCTATGTATCCTATGATATTCTTTTATAAACAGAAAAAAAAATCCCAAGGGCCAGCATAGGTTCGAAACTCGATAGATAATGGGCTCACCCCTCTACTCTTCTCCACTTAAATACCAGGGTTTAGTCTACGGTAAGTGTCGAACCCGTCACGTGCGTCTAACCCAGACATTCAGAGTCGCGCTCTTACCACTAGACCGGAGCCTCTAGGGCTCCACTTATCCAATGATTTCGCAGCGGAAAACACATTGAGTCCAACAAATTACCAATTTTCTTTAAACCATAACTATGGTATGCATATCATAAAGTAAGTAACAATGGAGGAAAGATTCATATCCTACCTTTGCATCATTTCGTACAAACTGAATACCATGGCCTGGATATATACTTGAGGAACAAAACCAACATTTCTCCAATCTCATTGTGTCCTCCTCCTCCTGTTAAATAAAAACCATGAAACTAACAAGGACAAAGTGATTTAATAAGCAAAACTGGAGTTGTACACCAAAGATAAGATCTTTATAACATAAAAGCATCGACTCAATAAATAGTTCCAGCGCAACTATTGAGGAACTACTGGGAATGAAAAATACAAAGATATTCATTAATAAGAAAATAAGCGAAAAAGAGCATGGTAAAAAGCTTAGAAAAAGGGGAATGGAAGAGAGAGAATTACTCCGAGCACGCAAACAGGAAGAGACTGCGGTGGCGGTGGCGGCGGTGGCAGCGGTAACGGAGGGGAGCAAGTGGGCAGTGGAGAGCGGAGCAGCTATGACCACTGAGCCTCCGAATGGCGGCAGAAATTAATATAGGGTTGAGGCCTCGGAATTATGCAAGCTATAAATCGCATTAGCATTATAAGTCGATCCTACTAAAATATAAGTCCAATTGCGATTTACGACTAATCAGTTTTTTTATTTTTATTTTACGAATAATCTGTTTTTCCTCTCTATTCCCATTTTGGACTTCCGTGTCAGTTATAGATAAATTTTCTTTTCAAAATTTTAAGTGTGCATTTAGACATAAGAATTGTGAAGTTTAAAGAAAAAAAGTGAAGCTTTTTTTCAAATTGAAAATGGTATTTGAAAATTGAAATTGTATTTGGATATGAATACATATTGGAGTTATTTTTAAATTTTTTGTGATTGATCTAAAGTGAAAATTATAAAAAATAGTTTTTTGGAAAAATTACGGAATTCAACTTCAAATTGGATTTGAAATTTCATGGCTAGACATGATTCCGAAAAAAAAAGCGAAAAACATTTATGGCCAAACGGGCCCTATTCTTACAGGTGAAGAATAATAAGTGTGACTTCACTTCTCTAGTGCCCTTCTCTATAATCAACGATTTGTTATAAAACCATTAAAGAAAAAAAGTATTACAGAGAAAAGTAGAGAGGGAAATTATTATTGATTTGGAATGAATTACAATAGAATATTAACACCTCTATTTATAGGAAAAAAAGTGGCTTAGCCATCAAATAACAAACCCTAAGATATCTCTAAAATATAGACATTCACCTTAAATATAATTCTATTTATAACACTCCTTCTTGAGTGTCTATTCAACAAATAATGTGCCTCGTTAAAAACCTTAGAAGGAAAATTCAGTGGGACAAAAACTTGTAGGGAAAAAAAAGGACAACGCATATTAACTCTCCCTGATGAGAGCATCAATTCACATCCTTGAGCTTTTGCATCCCAATCTTGTACACCAGTTTTTTGAAGGTTGACGTTGGTAGAAATTTGGTGAGCAAATCAGCCATATTATCACTTGAACGAATCTATTGCACATTAATATCACCATTCTTTTGAAGCTCATGTGTGAAAAATAACTTCGCTAAAATGTGCTTTGTCTTATCTCCTTTTATGAATCCTCCCTTCAATTGGGCTATACATACTGCATTGTCTTCATACAAAATCGTTGGTAGTTTGTCACATTTCAAACCACACTTGTCTCAAATAAGATGTATTATAAACCTCAACCACACACACTCTCGACTTGCTTCATGAATAGCAATTATATCAGTATCATTATATGAAGTAGCCACGATTGATTGCTTAGTCGATCATCAAGATATGACAGTTCCTCCACAGGTAAACACATAGCCTGTTTAAGATCGAGCGTTGTGTGGGTCGAATAAATACCCAACATCGGCATAACCAACAAGATCGGGACTACATTCGTTGCCATAAAATAAGCTCATATCGGTAGTCCCTTTTAGATATTGCAATATGTGTTTGATTCCGTTCCAATGTCTCCTTGTAGGAGTATAGCTATATCTTGATAATACATTAATTGAAAAAATTATGTCATATCTTGTAGTATTGGCAAGATACATTAGTGCACCAATTGCACTAAGATATGGTACTTCAGGACCAAGTAGCTCTTCATTCTTTTCTTGAGGTCGGAACGGATCCTTATTCACATCAAGTGATCGAATCAGCATCGGAATACTTAATGGATGTGCTCCATCCATGTAAAACCGTTTTAATACATTTTATGTGTAGGTAGATTGATGAACAAAAATTCCGTTTTTCAAATGTTCAATTTGCAAACTGAGACATAATTTTGTCTTTCCGAGATCTTTCATCTCGAATTCCTTCTTTAAATAATCAATTGCTTTTTGGAGTTCTATAGGGGTTCCAATAAGATTTATGTCATCAATATATACGGCAAGTACAACAAATTCCGATATTATTTTCTTTATAAAAACACATGGACAAATGACATCATTTATATAACCTTCCTTTAATAAATACTCACTACGGTGGTTATACCACATTCTTCCTTATTGTTTTAGACCATACAAAGATCTTCGTAATTTGATTGAAAATATTTCCTGGAACTTTGAATTATGTGCGTCAAGCATTTTAAATCCTTCAGAAATTTTCACGTATATCTCATTATCAAGTGAGCCATAAAGTTAAGTCATTACCACATCCATTAAATGTATGTTAAGCTTTTCATGGATATCAAAACTAATGAGATAACGAAATGTTATTGTATCCATAACAAGAGAATACGTCTCTTCATAATCGACACCATGCCTTTGTGAAAATTCATGTGCAAAAAGGTGTGCCTTATATCTTTGTACCTTATTTTTCTCATTCATTTTACGTACAAAGACCATTTATAGCCAACAAGCTTAACACCATTAGGTGTTTGGACTACGGGCCCAAAAATTTCACATTTCGCAAGTGAATCCAACTCGGATTGGATTGTTTCTTGCCATTTTGGCCAATCACATCTTTGTCGACATTCTCCAACAGATTGAGGTACAAGATCCTCACTATCTTATATAATTCTAGATGCAACATTATATGCAAAGACATAATCCACCACTATATCCAATCGATTCAAATTTGTCTCGATATCGATTGAATTTATTAATAGTTCCTTATTTTCTTGAGTCTTGGACTCAATGATTTCCTCATGAATCTGAAGATTGGTTAAATCGTGGATTTCTTTGTGAGGCACTTTCGTAGTGTCATCTTGATAATTTGTTTTCCTTTTTCTAGGATTTCGATCCTTAGAACCCCATGGTCTGCCACATTTTAGGCGTGTTTTTGACTCATTAGCTATGACACTAGAAGATTGTTCAACATGGACATCGATACGGATTAGAATATTCTCTATAGGGATATATGATTTTGTTATTCTTTTTCAGATATGTAAATGCGCCTGGCATTTGATTTGTTATTTTATGCAAATGAATAATCTTTTGCATATCTTTTTCACAAATAGTGGCACGTGGATCAAGATAAGACAATGATGAATTTTTTCACGAAATTTTTCGTTTGATTTCACCAATTTCTCCCCCTAATTTTGGGAAAAATACCTCGTCGAATCGACAATTTGCAAATCGAGCAGTGAATAAATCTCCCGTTAATGTTTCGAGGTAGCGAATAATGGAAGGAGATTCAAACCTAACATATATTCCTAACCTTCTTTGGGGACCCATCTTGGTGCGATATGGCTGTGCTACAGGCACATATAATGCGCACCAAAAAAATCTTAAATGGGATATATCAGGTTCATGACCCAAAACTAATTGCAACGGGGAATATTTGTGATAATTTGTTGGTCTAAGGCGAACTAGCATTGATGCATGCAAAATGGCATGACCCTAAACAGAAGTGGGTAATCTCGTTTTCATGAGTAGTGGTCTTGCTATCAATTGAAGACGTTTAATCAAAGAGTCTACAAGGCCATTTTGAGCGTGCACATGAGCTAAATGATGTTCTACTTTTATCCCAATTGATAAGCAATAATCATTAAATGTTTGGGATGAAAACTCAGCAACATTATCAAGTCGAATAGACTTAATTGGATTATCGAGAAATTGTGCCCGTAATCGGATTATTTGTGCTATTAATTTTGCAAATGCCAGGTTGCGAGATGGCAATGGGCATACATGAGATCATCTAGAAGATGCCTCTATTAAGACCATAAAATATCTAAATGACCCACTAGATGGGTGAATAGGTCCACAAATGCCCCCTTGTATATGTTCCAAAAACACAGGGGACTCAAACCCAATCTTTGTTGGTGATGATCTAATAATTAACTTGCCTTGATAACAAGCAGTGCAAGAAAAATTATTATTTAAAATAATCTTTAAATTCTTTAATGGATGCTCATTTGAGTTTTCATAATCCGTCTCATTGTAATTGATTCGGGATATCCCAATCGATCATGCCAAAGCACAAAAATATTGGAATTAGTAACCTTTTGGTTTACGGTAGGATGTGCCTCAATTGTACTAATTCTTGTCCAATACAGGCCACAAGATAAAGATGGGAACTTCTCAATAACCCTTTTCTATCCAGAGACATTTTTGGTAACGATGAAATATTCAAGGTTATTCTCATCTATTGTCTCAATATGATATCCATTTCGACGGATATCTTTAAAACTCAACAAGTTCATCTTGGACTTAGAGGAGAACATTGCATTATCTATGATAAATATTGTTCCCCTAGACCTATAACAACTCTTCCAGAGCCTTTAATTAGATTACTACTACCAGAAATTGTAGTAACATCTGCCTTACACATATTTAAATAAGAGAAATATTTCTTCTCTTTGAGTATTGTATATGCCGTACATGAATCAATTAAATAAATATCTTTACAATTAAACTTTGACTCAAGTTTTCTTTGTGAGATATCCATATTTTCTTCCCGTGGTTTGACATACAAAAGAAATATATGAATAAATATTAGTATTTTTAGAGAAAAGAAAAAGAAATAAAGTTAAATCAATAACTCAACATTGACCTTTAATGCAATTTCGAGCAAACTCTGATTATGATACAAATTATTCCATAGCTAAAAATAATGCAATTATTTTTAGGTTCTCATATGATTTTAAAACACGAAAACCTTATAGTCATATTAATACACATGAAATAATAAGTGTGCAAATAAAGGTAACTAAACACAAAAGTAGACAATAAATTGTATAAACGTTAAAAACAGGATCAACGTTCTTAAGGTATATAATAAATAAAATGATGAAATATTATAGCCGAATTACCATAAATAATATATTATACAATGGTTAAGTATCAAAAAGATTTCCTAAAATATGCTAAATAAAAATGGTCAAAGTTATACATGTAACCTCTTAATTGTTATCCTTCTTGAAGAAAAGGTTAATGACGCTTTATTAGAACTCATATTACTAGGTTTACAAATCAATTGCTTGAACAAAGTGCGGCATTGATACTGTTGGTACTTTAAATAATTAAGTCATGTTGACATAAAAAAATCCAACGTTTGTTTGGTACTAATTTTCTATGTTAAGTGGAATAATATAATATTAGCACAT